TATTGTGCACAATGCTATAACATACACAAGACTTAAAAGGTGAAATGAAATATAAAGTGACTTTTCTATTATTGTTTTTTTGGGGGGGGTTCATAGTAGCTCTTTAAAAATGTGAGTGTAAGCTAGCTTTTGGAGGGAGAGAAATGCTATTTTAGCACAAAATGATGCATGCAACAAGGCTCAGGAAACGCAAGCTGTTCTTCAGAGTTGTTCAATCTCTGACACTCTTGGTATAGCGAGGAAACTTCAGGCTGTCAGATTCAAGGTGTTATGTTAAAATGTGATGTTTGTTTGTCTTTTTACTTTTTTAAAAAACACTTGCTGGTCCTTGGAGTTATTTGCAAGACTGGTGACCTGTAACAAAAACAGGTATTCCTTTCTAGAAAAGAGGATGGAGATGTGTCTGTCTTAGAACTTCAGTAGAACCTGAAAGGCATGTAGCTTCTTATTGTTTGCATATTGTTCTTATCCCTTAGTGGGAGTGTTTTCTAGGAGCATATCCAGTAATACTTTTAAGAATTGTCACCTTTTTTTTTATTCCCTTTTGGTGCATCTCTTGCCAATGAGCTTTGTTCCTGTTAGGGTATCTGGCATTATTGGATAAGAAACTGAAATGAAAAGCTGGCAAGACCTATACTATATACAAACTAGCCAAACTCTAACTGACCTTCAAATAGTAAAATCAATAGTCTTCTATATTTGTGGTCTTCAATATTTTATATTCTTCTACTATATATGTCTTGCTAACTCTCCTGTTCTCAAATCTTTACCTGTTAAGAGTTGCTGATACTAACTAGTGCTTAAGTAAAGGAGGTACAACTTTTCAATTCCATTTTGGGTCTTTAGTTTTTAAAGAGAATTAATTTGGGGTCCTAAATGACTTGCAATTCCAGGCATGTCTAGTGTCACACAGCAGTGGCTTCATGCTGCATATAGTCTCTCTTTCTACACAGTAGAAACTTCTTTTTTTCTTTCAATTTTCAAGACCCAGCAGAAGCCAATTGACAGAATTAAAGCAACTTTAACTAGAGTTAAATACTGAGTGGGCTAGCAGAAGAGAACATGGTCTTCCCACCAAGTCAAACTTCTCCCTCACAACTCCAATCAAATACCAGTCTTAGTATGGTGTTCACATGCTCAATGTAATGATTACTAAGTGCAGTTAAAACTCAAGCAAAGTTTTTAAAGCAGTCTGGTACCTGTTAAGTCCCCTCTTAGTGTTGTAGAGTTGTTCCACTTCACTAAAGGATTGTCTCCTTAACATGTCCTTGCTTTAATAGGTCATTGCATCCCAATGACTTGCAGCTGTTGTGAGTGAACATGTAACACCACCCTAACCCACAGTGACTTCATTATATCACAGTATTGCAATGATTTGTGACTCTGTGAAACTGGTTACTGATCTCTGTCATCTAAAAATACTACCCACCCAATAGCAACCACAAAACCTGTACTGATTTTTATTTTTGTGATTCAAATCCCATATCTTGGGCTGCTGAATAATTTTGAGTGTTTTGTGGCAAAACAGCGTTTTGTGACGGCTTTTATTTCACTCGAGAGAGAGAGAGAGAGTAAAATAAATTGATCGCTCTTGGGTATGGATTGTAGTGTCACTCCTTAGGAGAGGATGAACAGCTGATTCTTTTTTCTTTCAGCTCTCTTATCTAAATGCACTCTTATTTGGGGTTAACGTTTATATTCCTGTTCTGTTTTTGGTTTTTTGGGTGTTTTTTTTTTTCTGTTTTTGTGTATTATTATTTATAAATAAATAAATAAAATACACAAATCCCACTCATAAAGGAACTAAAACTAGCTGTTTTAATGGAACTAGTTTTTTTTGTTTGTTTGTTTGTTTTTTTACATCTGATATAAGTTCAATTTTAAAACTAAAGTGTGAAACATTCCTTTCCTGAGGGAGGCCTAGAAGTTTCCAGTTGTCAATCTAGTTTTAATTTTTCCTACACTACTGTTCTCTGAGGAAAATGCCCCTGATCTTATATTGAAACCTTAATATCAGAGACTGTGAGTCGCTCAATTTGGAGAGAGAACTTTCTTTTCAACCTGGTAACCCTCATGATTTGTATGGGGTTCCAAGGAGATATTGAGGTGACTTTCCTCCCCTCACATGCATTATGAAACATTATACTGATGTCAGTGCAACGACTGCAGCTCAATAAGTATTTTGCAGTTCTAAAGTTGTTTGTTTTTTTGTTTGTTTGTTTGTTTTTTCGTTTTTTCTCTGCTTAAGTGCAGTACAACTTTTCATAGTTGGTCGGGTCGGAAGGGACCTGAGCAGATCATCAAGTCCGACCC